CACATGAAAAAAAATTTCAAATTTCAAAACAATGGGAATTCACGTTTGATTTTCTGGATTGATTCATATTCGGTATTGTTTCCAGTTTCATTTCAAAGAAGATTGTTATAAAAAGAAATTTCCAAGAAGTTTCAAATCAATTTAAAAACTTAATGAACTGTTAATTAAATGTTATTTTATTTGTTAATATTAATTTTCAAGTACTTTGATTATTTAAAACATACAAACGAATTCACTTTTATATTGTATAACCATAACAGTTCGAAAATCGTCGTTAGCTTTATCATGAATGACGGAAGATTTTTCTTATTAAAAAATAACATTGAAAAATAATAACTAGAACTTGAATTTCACCTTGAAAGTCAAATTCCAGTAAAGCAGAAAGCGTAAAACTATTCAACAAATTTGGCTCACACTTCATTAACTATCTTTTAAAAATCTCTAGTCGATGTTGAGGTATTGTTAGCATATATTTGTTCCTAATATTTATGTTGTGAACGTCTGTCTAAAAGTAATCTTGTAAACAACCCACCTAAACCTATGCGAAGTTAGCCCCCAATTAGATAGGATTTTACATGTATAGTATTTTAATTATAACAAGAGAATCAGTCAACCGATTTCGATAAACAATGTCTCATTCGAAAGCTTAATCTTTGACCAATACGAAAGTGGAAATGCCCGATTCGAAATCTCTTTCGAATTCCGCTAAAACGCCAAAATGTCCTTTTTTTATGTAGTACGATGTACCCGGTGATCAAGATCTGCACGTCATTAGATTCGTCATAGTTTCTTCTATCGAAATCACAAAATGCCCTATTTCAATTCTCTCCCGTTAACCTTGTACAGTCCTGGGATCGTGATCCGTGTGGCTCGTTGTTTATGCACGTGTGAACGCCCGAAAGTCTAGCCCCCAATATAAAAAAATTAATTTAAACTAAATCGACTATAATTAGAGAACGGTTTGGCGGATTTTAATATTTTATATCTCAATCGAAAGTTTATGCCTGGCTAAATGCCCGATTCGAAATATTTAAGGATTTTGATTAAAACACAAAAAACGAATTAATCAAACACATCAATTATCTCCTTAACTAATTGACCAATTTTAGTCATCAACATCTCTCAACATCTTGAATGATGTTAGAATATTAAAACAAAAAATTAATAATAAGAATTTGATTGTCACACTAGGAGACAAAAATCTCCAAAACCTTTGAATTTTTTATGCAGAATAACATTAATCACATTAACAAAGACCCTACACTTACATACAACAATAACCTAAAGTTACTTATTAACACCTGTAAAGAAAGTATGAAAAAATTCGACATCAACACGAATCTCCTTACCCAAATGAATCCATTATCTCCTACACTCAAATCTCTTATTAAGCTATATAAAACTGAAAAAAGCATTAGACCCATCATATCCAATATTAACACACCTAATGAATTAATCGCTAAACACTTACAGAGATTCTTATACAACAATTTTCAAAAAAAGTTTTATTTACACCACTAAAAACTCTTCAGAACTCATAAAACAACTTTCTAAAGTCCAAATTAACAATAAATCTATTTTAGTTTCCTTCGATATAAAGAATCTGTACTCTAATGTACCTGTTAATGATTGCATTAATATAATCGAAGATTTCCTATGTATTAATATAAAGAGATTTAATAATGTTCAATATAAAGACATTTTTCATCTTGCTTCTATAATTAAATTAGTTTGTGAACAAAACTTCTTTATCTTCAATGGTAAACATTATCGCATGACCGATGGTTTACCCATGGGATCTCCAATTTCCGGTATCATTGCTGATATTTTTGTGAACTGGTTTGAGGAGATTCTCTTCTCGGAGAAGTATTCCCTATTTAGCAAGGATATAGTATTCTATAAGAGATACGTTGATGATATTTTGATTATCTTTAATGGTAATAAGGCTCAATTAACTGCCCTCACTAATATCTTTAACAACATTAGTGCGCTTAAATTCACCACTGAATTGGAAAAAGATTCTAAAATTAATTTCTTAGATATTACTATTTCCAAAGACTTTTCAAAATCATCACTCAGTTTCAGCATATTCCGTAAAGACACAGCCACTGATACTATTATCCCGAAATCCTCCTTCTCCAGTTCACGTCATAAATTTGCTTCATTTCGTTTCCTCTTCAATAGACTAATCAATTTTCCCTTACAACATTCTGACTTTATCATCGAACTAAAAAAGATAATCAAGATAGGATTAAATAATGGCTACTCTCTTCAAGAAATTCAAAACATCTATAACAAAACCCAAAATAATTTTACCAATGGGATGATCTTCCCAAGATTTAATGAAAAACTTAAATTTGTTTCTATTCCTTTTCATCCAAACTTACAAAACTCTTTCTCCCGTATTTTTAAATTTCATAACATTACTCCTGTATTTTCTGCCAGTAATAAATTGGGTCAATTACTTGTCAACAATAAACATAAATTCGATGAAAACCATAAAAGTGGCATTTATAACCTTAACTGCGAAGATTGCGATTGTTTTTACACTGGTCAAACGGGGCGTAACATAAAAACTAGGTAAAAGAACACATTTCAAAAAATAATTCTGCCTTTTTCAAACATTTAACTACAATGGGACATAAATCTGATCTTTCTAATATTTCCGTCCTAAAAGACCTAAAGAAATCCAAAAAGATGGACCTGTACGAGGAATTTTTTATTAGATCACACTACAAATCTAATCCAGACCTCTTAATTAACGATTATACAGATTTTTTCCAAAATAGATTATTTTCCGTATTCCTTAAATAAATATATTTTGAGTCAAATTTTCCGCTCCTTGCAGGTTTTCTCACCTCTCTCTGTTCAATTTTACTTTTCACCCTCACTAACTCCTTAACGTTAACATCAGACCGTTTCGAAACTCGATAGCATGCACACGACTTTCATATGTTAAGGTAATTTTTGATTTTTAACCTTTTATTATATTAATTAATTTTATACATCAGCATGTTTCTTGCAAATAATTTACTTTTTATTGGTTTAAACTTTGAATATTTTTAAAATGTTTTTTGTAATTCGCTACGGTAATGGAAGCTATAACAGTACTCAAACGGGTGCTGTAATGAGACTCCTTACAGCATCCGATGCTGTAATGAGATTTTAGTAACATTTTATGGAACCAGTTCAAGTTGGTGACATTGGGTCATTAATTTTTCTAGTTGTCAATGTGACAATTTATGTCTATGGATGTTTAAACACGTTCTTAGCATCGGATACAAGGTCCACAATGATGAGGACATTGACTCTGAGCAATTTCTCTTATTTTGGGAGGTGTACATCAAACATTTTTTTCAGGTGAATATATTTTGTGTTTTGACAGTTTCTAATTGTCAATTCAAAGTTTCTATTTTCAAGTGTTCCGGTGTTACCAACTGCTACATACCTATTTCCCTACATTGCCAAAATTTACTTTATTTTTGTTAAAAAAAAGTATAAAAACGCGAATTACAAAAAATAGCATAAAAAACACGTTTCATAAGACTTAAATTATACTCATTCATTAAAAAACTCGTGGCTTCGCCACTCGTTTTTCAACTTGAATTCGTGCAGCGTGTCTTACGAAACTTGTTTTTTAATATACTATTTTAGTTTTTCAATTTGTTCTTCTTTGAACTGTAATTCAAGTTTTTCGACGCCTTCATCATGTTTACTTCTCTTAATGCATTGCAACTCAACCGTAACTGACGGTAATTATTAAGTTTTAAGTTTTTGACTGTAATTTATTCAATTCTTAACTATTAATTTACACAATGAACCTGGAGTTAAGTATCGCCAAATCAACATGTCGATCGAAAGTATGATCTACAATGAATGCGAAGGTGGAAATGACCGATTTAAACATTTACTAATTACCTACGTACGGTTATTTAAATGACTCCAAGTACCTACTGACTGGAAGTCTAGCCCCCAATACGAAAAAATTAATTTTGATTAAATTCGCTTTAACTAAAGAATGGTTTGACCGATTTTAATGTTATATTTCTCAAATGAAAATCTTGCGTCTGGCTGAATGTAGAAGATATAAACATTAAATTAACAAGGCGTATACACGCGTAACATTGTATTATATGAAACTGTAAGTGCATTTTTCTCGAAACATCCATTTTACATCTGGTTAACACGATTCCTAAAAAACTACTCATTCGATTGACTTGAAATTTGAACTGCATTTTCAAATAGCATCTTTCTATCGTATGACCTACAGAGAAACTGATACGATATACACATGATTTTTTTTGAGATAAACTTATCGATTTGAACAACAAAATCGATATCTTAATTTGATTAGGCGCCATTTTGCCAATAATATTATTTTTGCTTAGTTCTAGTTCAAACGATAATCACAAGAAACGAACATCATTTGATTTTTGAGTTTCAGATTATTTCAGGGATAGATATTGTATGAACCAGCAACTTAGACAATCCACGCACCTACTTGGTTCAGGGACAATGTAAAGATTATTTTCTATAAACAATTCTTTTTAAATAAGTAAATATATCATGAAAGCATATGCAAAAGATTAAAAATCTTAAAAATTAAATTTTTATTTGATACAAAAAAAAGAGACTAAAAAGTTCCATTAAAAAGTTTGAATTAGATTATACTAGTATTATTTGGAGTGGTATACACAGTGATGGGCGTTGGGTAAATACCCGGCAGGTAGGTATTTATAAAATGGGTATTTATCCGGGTATTTACCCCAGCCCAGGATAAATATCCAAACAGTGCCTATGTATAAAAATGATAAATATGTTTGGTGTATCGATAATCGACTCTGCATTCTTGAAGTGGTTGCAAAACTGCCATCAACTCAATTTGAATAAAATTTTATAAATACCTCTAAATACCCATCTTGGGTAAATACCCCCGGGTATATATCCAGGGAATTTTCCCTTGAAAATAAATACCCGGGTATTTAACAACACTGCATTCATTAATTTAACTTCATCCTCTGTTAATGAATCACATAAACTTGGATCAATATCGTGTAAAGGAATTTGCTTTTGAAGGAGTTGTTTTCGTTCTTGAGCAGCTGCTGAACCCTTTACAGGGAGTAATTCATCAGGGAGGGTTTTTAAATACTTTTCGATGGCTTCTTTTTGCCCTTTTGGTGTCCATTCTAACTCAATTTCTTCTTTTTTACCTGGTAACACTGCAAAACATCACATTAAAACATTTTTTTAGTATTAAATAATCATTTTTTACCAATTTTGTTGCACTTATTTGGTTTACTTCCAAGTAATTGGAACTGAGCATATCCATAAATATCATCATCTTGGACATCATGGCTTTCTTTTCCACATTTGCAATTTTTGCAAATTTTTCGCCAAAAATGTAAATCTAACCCTAAAAAATAAAAAACGCTTCATTTATAACGATTATTTAAGTTAATTTTTGCTTTTTACCTGGGCAATCGNACCACATATTCTCAAAGCAAGTATACAAATATTCTTGATTCTCAAGAAAACGAATTCTTAGTAAAAGTAAATCAATAATCTTGAAAAAGAGTATCTTAGTGTTACGTCAACAACCCCATTTTCGTATCGAGAATAGATTTCTTAAGTCAATAATAATGTATCTTTCTTTTTAGAAAAACTTATTCATGTAACAACAATCTTGTATAATTCTTCATTTGAGTATTATAAATTATTGACGCAAGAATGGATTTTTTGATACAAAAAATTGATATTCTTCGATGCTAAGAATATGACATACTTCATTTGATAATATTTCTATTCTTAAAATAAAAAAATATTTTTGTTTTAAGAGTATTTTATACTTCTTTCTAAGAAATACATTCAATAATCAATTTTTCTTGAGAGTCAAGAATAATTTCCCTCAGTGTACGGACATAAACAACGAGGCGAACACGGTGTCATTCCGAGTGCTGTACAAGGTTAACGGGAGAGAATTGAAATCGGGCATTTTGTGATTTCGATAGAAGAAACTACGAATAANACGCAGTTAATTAGTAAATTTTGAAATCGAGCATTTCCACCTTCGCATTCATTGTGGATCATACTTTCGATTGAGATGTTGATGACTAAAATTGGTCAATTAGTTAAGGAGATAATTGATGTGTTTGATTAATCGTTTTTTGTGTTTTAATCAAAATCCTTAAATATTTCGAATCGGGCATTTGGACAACCGCATTCAGCCAGACACATACTTTTAGTTGAGATATAAAACATTAAAATCCGTCAAACCGATCTCTAAGTATAGTCGATTTAGTTGAAATTAATTTTTTCATATTGGGGGCTAGACTTCTAGTCGTCAGATTCGTATGGTAATTAAAGATTGAGAGAACCAAGACATCACATAAACGTATTCGGAGTTTCTGCTCCAATAAATGTGTACTATTATAAAGCATTTTTAATGTTGCATATGTACGACGAAGAAGATCCCCGGTATGTGATCGAAATCTTAAATCGGTATCAATAGTAACACCAAGATTTCTCGATCTTTCTGCAGCTTGCAAAATATCAGAGCCAATTCATACTGTAAATGTACACTGCCACCAAAGATCATCATCGTTAGCCATGTCCACCAACGCTAGTGCGTCAAATTTTATATTTTATTGGGCTGTGGCAAAATTTGAAGTAGGAAATGTATAATAAAGTTGAATATCCTCAGCATACATATGGGTTTTACAAAGCTCCAGAATCGAACATGTGTCGGTTTTGATATATCAACACGAAATCGTTAACTTTAGAGCATTCCAACGTCTCGCCCGCAACCGATCTTTGCGGTTTGAGGGTAAATGTCTTCTTATAAGAGACTTTGTATCTTTTAAAAGATGTAAAAGAACGATTTCGCCTCAAATCGCGGAAGTCTCCTGCTGGCGATTTGAGGCGAAATTGTTAACTTTGAAGCATTTCAACGCCTCGTCGTCAAGCGAACTCGGCAATGTGAAGATGGGCAGTTTTTTATTCAAGTGTTGTACGTTTGATTCACTTTCCAAGACATCAAATGAAAAATATCGTCTAACATCGCCGAGGTCGCTTGTGGGCGAGGCGCTGTATTTAATATATTAAGGATAGTGGTTAATCTATTGTCAACTCCACGAAGTACATTATCAGTGACAACTAAGAGAGCCATCTCATATTATCTCATAATTACCTATTTAAAGACGTTGTACCGTTTCTAACAAATTTTGTTACTTTTCAACTTATTTAAAAATTAAAATAGTGTGAACGATGGTATATGCAACATGTTTTGGCTAAATAATAAATATTCAAACACATAAAACATGCTTCAACAAAACCACTATTTTATTACTAGTTCTTAATTATGAACACTGCCAAACTTCAGATCCTTTAAAAATGAAAATAATTCGTTTCGAAAACATAACATTGAACCTCATTCATGTTTTTTTCTATACAACTTTTAAGATCATGTTTCATCTTTACTTGGAACTTTTTTTGTCAATCGATGTTTTTATAATATTTAAATTAAGTGTCAAAATGATTTTATTACTTATTAAATGATTTTATCGATACAAATGTAAATAAATGTAGCCATAGAAGACAAAATTTTTGCTATACAATGTTCTCCATAATTGTCGAGATAACAGACAGAATAGTCAATGATATAGGTTTCTTTTTCAGATCTTATGAAATTCTTGAAATGAATTTCAGTATAAATTTCTGTTAATGTTTTGCTCGCGTTTTTATCATTTTCATTCTTACTTCTCTCTCTTTTCTTTTCATTTTGTTCCTCTTTGATCTTTGTATTTCTTCTTCTAGCGGTTTTTTTTTTCGTAGGGGTGTAGTTATTTCAGTTTTAGAGCATCTTATTGAGGTTGAAATGTGATCCTCGTCTCAGACAGCGCTCGTTTTTGGTTTTTGGCATTCGTTTATCATATTCCTTTGGCATTACATTCAATGCAACTATATGTATAGCTTATTGCAATCCTTTTGGATGTGTCCAAGAAGTTAGCATAATTACATTGAATTATTTCGGTCTTAGTTCATGGGGGTTCGATAGTTATCATAGTTATCATGTTTTAGATTGCAATAGATCTATATTCTTTATCAATTTCTACTAGGACCATTGAAGCAAGTTTTGGTTTACTGCCATTCATCTCGTTGCTTTAGTTATTAGATAATCTTGTTTCATTAGGTTTTCATCGACTTAACACTACATTCAGTAATTATATTATTTATTAAATAAAATTCGTTTTTGCACTTAAATGGATTTTTATTTAAATTTTCTCTCAACCGGTTTCGCCATATATTTACAGCATCTTCAGGAGATTACGTCATTTTGTTATAAAAGTGTCCTATAGAATGAATCATTTGGTAAAAAGAAATACCAAATGATTCATTCTATAGGAAGATTCATTCTATCTGAAGATGCTGTAAATATATGGCGAAACCGGTTGAGAGAAAATTTAAATAAAAATCCATTTAAGTGCAAAAACGAATTGTATTTATTAGACATAAAATGGAAAGAAAATCATCAAACAATATATTATTTATTATTATATTTTCTCTGATCTTAACTCGTATATGTAGAACTGGAGTTACTTCAATGTTGATCCTTTGCTTTGCTTTGGTATAGTTTAGTTTTTTTTTGTTAGATTTTTCATTCCTTCAACCTTCGTGCCTCAGTTAGGTTTTTAATTTCCAGCTTGGTGCTTCTTCTTTCTATATTGTTGTTCTTTGGTTAAGTGTTTGTCCGTTTTTATCCGTACCCTCATTCGTTTCTATTTATATCATAGTGTATCGCTTCTATTCGTCCATTTCTCTTAGATTTGAGAATCGGTTGTTAATTTCTACTAGAACGTCATCTTCGCCTTCCTTTTTCCTGTTCGTGATGTCGTTAGAGATTTCAAATTCCTTTTAAACTCTTCAGCTCCTCTTTTTACCATCAGTATGCTGGCGGAGAATCTTAATATTTATTAATTTTTCTTAATATTAATTAGATTAATCTTATTAGATTAATCCAGAACGCTAACGTGAAAGTCACTATTTATAGTTTTATAGAAATAGAAGTGTAGTTATTTGCCATTAAGTATATATTTATAGTATGTTTAATATCAGATCAACATTTCATCATAATCAAGTTAAGATCATCGAACCTCGTCGTATCATCTTTTAATGTAAAGAATGACCTTCTCCAATTCTTTTTGAGAAAGCAGATCCCTCTCACAACAGGCAGTGACGAAATCTAGTCACAGCCAATCTATACTCCTTTAGTATGCACCATGAATACTTACATCTTCAATTTACATTTTAATTGTCTAATAACAGCCACATTGTAAAAATTCCATCTTACTAACATGAATTAAGTTAAAGACATCATGCAGAACGATAGTGAGATAAGCAGCAGGAGAATTTTGTATATACATATATCCTTTATCAAGGACAACATCAACTTATACACATTGGGATGCTTTAGTTTAATGCTTTGTTGAACACCCAATTTTGTTTCAACCATTGTGGGCAAATTCGTTATCTTGAGTTTGACCGATGTGTATCAAATGCGCTTCGTGGAGCTTGGCAGTAGATGTCAATTGATGTCAGCGAAGTTCACTCTATGTTGCTGGGGCAGAATTCAAAGCGATCTTGCAACAGACTGCAACAAATTTCTTCCCATGAAGAGTGAGATCGTAAATTCTCCTAATATTATTTGTGGTAAATTAATTGGTAAGAAACTTAATGGTGTTCAAATCAAAAAACATAAAATAGTAACAATAATTACCTTTATTCTAGAAATCAATAGTACCTGGACATTGTATGTTGTTTTATTAAAAAAAAAATTAAAAAGGGGAAAATAATATAAAATCCACTTTGTTCCTTGAAGAACTTTGGCCCCAAGAGTTGTACCCTTGGGAATAATAAGGCCCGTCCCCCCAGTTTCGCAATCTAAAGGACGGGCCCGGGTCTAACAACGACCGAACAGACAGAAAATAATCCGAACTAGTTAAAAGGAGTGTACGGGAAGTCAATTGCAGGTCGGAGCTTGTTAGCAGAACGTTCCCATTCAACTATTACCGGTTTGAACCACTCATTCTTTATTCGAACCGACTTTCCCGACGCTGTCTTCTCCTTTTCTCTCTTTCAATCCCTAATTTTATACTTTTTTTCGTCCACCAAGAACTAAAAAAATCAATTTAAAGAAAAATTCTTTTCGTCAAACAATACGCCTACAGAAAAATTTGTATAAAACAATTCATCAAGGATGGCTAGAAATGATTTAAAGCGTAAAGGAAGGAAATAGACCGTTCGTAAACCCATCGGTGCGTCCATGCACGGAACTTAACCGCGCTTAATGCCAGTTTCACGGACCGCTAGTCCGAACCGTGTAATTTTGCATTCGCTGCAGAAGAGAGAGGATGTTCGGGTGGCCTTCGAGGTTCCCGTTTCGGAGAGCGTTAAGGTTTTCTAGTTAAGTGGTCCACAAAATTCGGCA